TCTGCACACGCACAAGGGCACCATATAAACTCTTATGGGCTAAAATTACAGGAAAAACACTAGTTTTCCAACTACAGTAAACGGCAGACTGCCAGATGACCCTCCCGTGCTCCCAGTCTGCACAGGGAGGAGCTAGAAATCAGCGGCACCGGCTGCTCCCTCCACATCGGATCAGAACAGTCAGGCTGCAGACGGAGGATGAATTAAATCGAGGAAATGCGCCTTCTCCACTTCTCCCGATCCTGATGTGAGAGCTCCACATCCTCGCGTTTGTCACCCTTTGACCATGAACTCAGCTGCGCGCACTCAGGCAGACCAGCTCCGTTTGCAGCTTCTCCTCGAGCAGAGATGATGTGCAGATCCTGAAGCGTTTTCTCTGGAGAAACCAGAGGTGGGTTCCAACATTTTACACGTAACCGTTCTCTTCTAGCTGATCAGTTACTATGTCAATAAGACCTGAAAAAGGAGGTTGTAATCTGCTGATTAATTTGCCTTTTAAAAAGTTTTATGAGTGGTGGTCAGATTTCTTAGTGCGTCTTCAAACACAAGACGGAGTAAAGGACACGTTTCTCTTCTGTTTTGATGCAAAACATTGGCTGAATATTAGCTGACAACATTTATTTAAGCAAATTTGAAAACCGATGAAATGGTTTGAACTGTCTTTTTCCCTATCATTGTTTTTATGACAGACTTTTTATATTTTTTATACATATTTACAGTGTTTCTTGTGCTCTGTAATGAGGATCAGTGTAATGTCAATGAGTTCATGCAGTGGTAGAAGTAATGCAATGCTTGACTCAAGTAAAAGTGGCAATAATATGATTTTAAAACCAATGTTTTACAAGTAAAGTTAGTGAATTTATATTTTATTTAAGTAAAAGCACAAAAGCAGTAGAATTCTTACTATCACCACATCTGGTGAAGGAGCGTCTGCTGTTGATGCTGGAAATCTTATAAAAACCTTTTAAAACACATTGGTGATTTGTTATTTTGAACCATTTAAATAAGAAAAAGTTCACTTTTATTTTAAATAAGGGTCCTGTATGAGACCATTATTGTAGTTCTGTGCTTTCTGAAGTCCCGTCAAATGATCACACCTGGTCTGGCATAAACATGCTGCAGCACCAGAGGGATGAATGTGTGTCATAGGGACCCAGACCCCCGAGCACTGAGGCCCTGGCATTGCGTCATTCAGTCTGTGATGAACCTGGTGTCTGTTGTTGTTTCAGTGGAGTTCTGCAGGTGGGCATCATGTCCCTGTGGATGATCATCCCTGTCAGCCTGCCGGTCTTCACCATCACAGGAATATGGGTGGTGTAAGTACCTCTGAGTTATGTAACAAAACATCAACATTTTCTGTCTTTTCTGTGTTTTTTCTGAACTTTTTCAGACAAACTTTGTGACAGGTGTCCATACGTTAGTCTGGCTAAACAGGTTCCTTGTGATTGTAAGGTGTTTCCTTTTTTTCTGTTTGTTTATTCTGAGTACAGTCATCCACAAAATTCCTCCTGGTGCATCTGCTCCATACAGTCAGCCACATCTGTAGCTCTTCGCGTGACTACAGCGTGCAATAAGAGCTTCCTTTATGGTGGAACATCTGTCCCACTGCCAGTACGAGGGAACAGGTGCTGGGCTTTATTGCAACATCACTGGCATCTGTAACTGTCTGTGACCAGATGACTTGTTTTTTTTACAGAACTTAATGTAATCCAAGACTAAATACAAGATTTAATGGAGATATCATTAAAGGACTAGTCTGACATTTTTGGAAAAATACCAAATATCGTGGGTTTCTAGCAGAGAATTGGATGAGACTGAAGCTAAACAAATAGTGAGCCAGTGGGGGTTAGCTTAGCAACATTTAGCCTGGCTCTGTTGTTTTAGAAGTAAAAGAAGAAGCTTCATTTTATTGTCATTGTAACATTGTGATGCGTACAACAAAATTTTGTTTGGAGCCGAGGGGCCCCGGGCTGCTGTGTGCATATGTGCCGCCATCATGAGCAACTTGATCTGGTTTGTTAATTTTTTACAAAGGTAAAGTGCAAAAACAGGTTTGGTTTTATGCTAAGCTAACAGGCTGATGGCTCCAGCTACATGTGGATGCAGACTTTTATACAGCGATTGGCATGAAAGTAAAAGCATATTTCTCAAATAGCAAACTACTTCTTTAATTAAAGACTGAATATGGATTTGTTGAACTGCAAAACAAACTTTAAAATCCATTATTTAGGCAGCCTCGTGAGAAATTACAGCACTCGTCTTTGCTCCAGCAGTGTTGCCACCTCTGATCAGTCACATCAGGTGGAACATAACTCACGAGTGTCACACATCTTTGTTTCCTTTTTTAATCAGGTAGAAGTCTCACTGAGATTAATATCTCATTTTCAAGACAGGTCAAGTAGGCAGCTAACAGACTGCTGTGACAACATGTACAGTACAGACGGCATCAGCGGGAAGAGAGTTGTCACACGCTGCAGAAAAGAACTAAAAATGTCTAGTGACAATACAGATATCTGAACACTCTTAAGATGAAGGAATAACCTCTGAATGTTTCCACTCTATTTGGAAGAGTAAGAGGCAGAATATTCAGATGTCTTTTTGTCCAGGTTTGCCATATGTCTGTGATGGAGATGGTGTAGAAAGCTCTTGAAACCTGTTGTTACTTTGAGGAAGGTGGTGGAAATGACTTCTAAAAATTCTGAGCCAGTGCATTGTTGTGTACATTTCATCAAGGCTCAGATTTAAAGTCTTCCCTGGTGTCTCAGAACATTTTCTCTGTAAGAAGCCTTTCACACTTCTATAAAGTGGATGCAGGAACGTTTCACACTGCATCTCCAAAGCGTTCCCTGTCAGGGATGAGTCTGTAGCCCCCCTCATTTTGCCAGGCCTGCTGTTTTTCAGACACACTGACACCTGTCTGCTTGTGCCTTGGAATGCTCTGTTGAATAGAAACATAACTGTAGTGTGTATGTAATAGAATAGTACGGAAAACATACTGTAACTGTAGTACCACTGCAGCTTGGGAGGTCTTAAGAGTCCCTGCTTTGCAATTTAACGAGATCTGAGTAAATTATCTGTCAGACACCACAGAAACGGGACTCAAAATGCTGCTATGTTGTCATTGTTTATTTAAGAAAAGGCTAATCAACTCTTCTGATTTGATTGTCTCTTTGTTATCAGTGATCAATAGAGACATTCCTGTCATGTTCAATTGTTAGTTTTTGTTCAGTAACCTCTGTCAGCAGCTTGTTTTGTTGCCTGGTGTCCATTACACACATCTCTGATCTAATTGTGACCTAATCTGTCGAGCTGTTAAGTTTAGCCTGCAAATGGAATGATATTCCTTCAAGAATGAAGTATTAAATAAACAACAATATTAGATACTGTTACTGTACCTTTTTAAACACATATAGTGAGCCACAGACATACTAATGAAAAGCTGTAGATCAGTAAGGTTTTGAATAAGGATTTATTTTTGCTGGAACAAAACTGGCAGATTAGATCATTTCTACCATCTTCACCTTTTTTAGTGTTTGCAAACATTTGATAATTAGCACAGAACACAGGGTGAAGCTGGACCGATGGGAGTGTCATTACTTTTACAGGTATTTGGTCCAAATTCAGACTTACAGTTTGATCTGGACATCTTAAGAGGTCTGAGAATGAAAGGGTGTAAAAATAAGAACCCTTGTTTTACATTTTAACCAAATTCTTTCTAACAAACACCAGAGAAGCTCCACAGCGGTTCAATCAAAATGCTGCTGCCTCATTACTCTTGCTCAAGTAAAGCAGGTCTGTTCTCCTGATTGGATTGTCCCTTTCCTCCCACTGATCAATAGAGACACTCCAAATATCACATCCCCTTTTAGGCTTTCAAACAGCAGCGTCTGTCTGCAGCTTGTTTTGTTGCTTCCTGTGTGGAGTTTATCTGTGGCACAATGAGTCATATCCAGTGGGTACGGAAAGTATTCAGACCCCCTTAAATTTGTCACTCTTTGTTATATTGCAGCCATATGCTAAAATCATTTAAGTTCATTTTTTTCCTCATTAATGTACACACAGCACCCCATATTGACAGAAAAACACAGAATTTTTGACATTTTTGCAGATTTATTAAAAAAGAAAAACTGAAATATCACATGGTCATAAGTATTCAGACCCTTTGCTCAGTATTTAGTAGAAGCACCCTTTTGAGCTAATACAGCCATGAGTCTTTTTAGGAATGATGCAACAAGTTTTTCACACCTGCATTTGGGGATCCTCTGCCATTCCTCCTTGCAGATCCTCTCCAGTTCTGTCAGGTTGGATGGTAAACGTGGGTGGACAGCCATTTTCAGGTCTCTCCAGAGATGCTCAATGGGGTTTAAGTCAGGGCTCTGGCTGGGCCATTCAAGAACAGTCAAGGAGTTGTTGT